GCGTGACTTCCAGCATTTTTGGGATATCTCGAGAAGGAAAGCATATTTTTTGAAAAGAAAAAAAACGAACCTGAGATAGGGTTTGAAGTATCTGTGGTAAAATTTTGAGCTCGATCGGACCATTTTTCGAGGGGTCGTAATGTGACTGGATGAAAACCAGAGTTTTCTAGAAAACCCATAGAGGAACACGTCACAAAATTCTATGCAAAAATACGTCGATTTTCTTTTTCGATGTTCTATCTCTGCTATAAATTTCACCCCGATCCGACATCGGCGTCCCCGGTTTTCAAGAGGGTCAAAAAAGAGGGGGGGGGGGTACCCTTAATAAAATGAGGATTTCTGTCTTGAGATACTCTTACGTTAAAAATATGACGTCATTAAAGTGTAAGTGTCACAACTTTAGTATAAAAAAATCTAGTATCTCCCGATTCATCTAGATTATCAGATTTTTACTCGATTGCAATTATTTAGCAACGACAGTGGAAATCTAGTAATCGAATGATTGCTAGATTTCTCTTCAGTTGTAACTATCGATATATCGCCCGATAATCGATCGATTTAACTATTGCTAGTTGTACACGTAGACATATCTAGTTAAAAGTTCCTTTTCCAACTAGTAATCTGGATGACAACTAGTCGTGCATCGCCCGATTACAGACGAAATGTATCTAGATTTTTCCTATGGATGATTTAGCTTGTGATAAAGTGTAGCACTGAAATTTTTCCCTGACATTGCAACAATCTCACTTGACTCTTCGAGAGAAGAAAAGTAAACGCCAGCAGCAAATCGTGATAAATCATGTAAAACATCAAAATATTCTACGAATTGCGAAGCCTTGTCTCTAACATAGTTATTTCTAACATTTTTCTCGTTTCATTTATTTAGATAACTTCATATGGAACTGTTATCAAACTCTCTTATATGAGTTCTGTGATACATGAATACTTTTATTTTGAAACATTTTTCTTCCCCTTTGATTCTCTCTTCCGACGAATGGATGGTTCTATCTTTCTAAAAAAGACGTCATACGCCTTTTCTTCGCACCTAAATTTTATCGTAGACAACATTTATCGTAAATTTTATCATTCGAGATGTATTCACGGCGCAGCAAATCTATTGAGTATAAAAATATATAATGAATAACTTGTATATCTGTAAATGTAAGCAATTGTTTAGGCGTTATTCATATCTAAATGTAAATCATGCACAAAGTTTCATAGCTGCTTTTATTTCCTGTGCACTTTTTTTCCTTTACATTATAAGTCTCTTATATATTTATAATGTCAAAGTCTGATATGAATGTATTGTTGATGTTAAAAGTGTAACACCCGTCGAAAGGTGAGGTTAAATCATTGAAATAAAATCTTACCAAAGTAGCCCCTAACGAGGCTAGAATGTGAAAATCCTCCTATGTTATGTTAGAGTGATACTTGAAAAAAGGCCTAACATTGTTTTTGTTCTGATTAATTTTCAAATACACGCTCTAGTAGGTACGTAAAAGAATCAGCAAAATCGCTGAGGTTGTGAGTATATTGCTTCGACACCTCGGGTGCGTAATCTTAGGAGGAGTTTCCCAAAAGCTGAAAAATTCAGATTTTCCGTTAAATTAAGATCTGACAGATTTAAAACTCTACTGAAATTTATCCTTTAATCCCAACAACGTATCTAATAGAGTAACTCAACGTACCCAAGAATATGACACCATCAGAATGTGTCCAATTAGCAGCTTATGAAGGTTCGCTAGAAATCCAGTTTATGTAGGCTTACCCAAGAAGAACCTATGGGGGAAACGATTATCAGATCATGTTTAGTATCAAAAACTACCTGTTACAAAGTATATTCCGGGAATAATTAAGGAATCACTTGGTGAGGTTCCATCGTTAGGCCTCTGAAGGTCGGATAATGAAAAATCAAATCTTTTTTTCTAAGATCGGTCTCTGACATTGTCAGCTTGTAAAGTCATCTACGTCTATAAATGTTTTTAACTGTTGAACATGCCGTAATTAGGTTATAGATAAACCGTTTTGTGTGCAAAACGCGCTGGTATCTCATTTCCAGCACGAACTCAAAGTAAATTTATAGGCTTCGGATGATTTTGTGGTCAATCTAACTTTAACTTGCAAATTCCCTCTATTAAGAGATTTTCCATTTTTGTGTCAAATATTGGAATTTCTGCTAATATGTTCAATGAATTCTAGTTAGTCAATGAAGTCGGGTGGTATTGGTCAAGAAAAGCCTGTGGAAAACAATGACCAACTAATCTATGACCAGGTAAAGAAAGTCATTTGCTTTGTGTAAAGTTATAGAAAAAGTTTCATTATCTATTTTCAGTATAAAAATCATATTGAGGAAAAAATTCGTAAAACATTTACTTTACCAAGCAATTTTAAATTACCTACCAAGCCCACATCAGTTGCAAAACAAGTCGTCTCTGGCACAAATTATTTCTTTAAGGCGAGTATTGAATTCAGACATGTGCAGTATTATGTAATAATATAATCTAAATCTGAGGTTCGTGTTAATTATTAACACTTCCACATAGGTTAAGTAAAAGCGGATAAAATTTTTCAGATTGAATAATTTTTCGTGGTATTTTTTTTTATAGATTCAGGTTTCAGACAACAAATATGCTACCGCTCGCGTTTATCATTGTCCAGGGGGACTTAACGGAACTGAAGAGTGTGTAGCCATTCATGAAAAATTATCAGATAATGCCAATGATACTGTTTCACATTTTTAAAATGAAATGTTATTAATATTCATAGTGTACAAAAAACGACAAACAAAAACATAAACAATAGCAGATTTATAGTAGAAAATAAAAGATGTAGCGCTTTTATCGTAGAAAAATAAGTATAGTTTGTTGATTCAATTTACATCGACATATTTACATCAACAAAAAGATAGACACTAAAGTACTACAGTTTTTTTGTTAAAAAATTAATACATGTATCTAAAATTACCCAAGCTGAAAAAGTTTCAATAATTCTACTTAGCTACAGAAGAACTTTCCGCTAAGTACAAACATTAAACAGATTTGCAGGCGTATACAGTAGCAGATAACAGCTTACGCTGTATACTGAATCGTTGCGATTTATCGTTTGAAGCAGAGCCCTGATCTCACACTCATGTTGTTCGTCATGTACTTTTCGAATCTTGGTGTTGGCAAGACATATAATCACTTTAGACAAGTGACTTCTGTAGAGGTCTCCTGATCCCACGGGACCAGGACCTAGAGATCTGCGGGATGGTTCCAGTCCTGCGGGATAGTCCCGGTCCTGTAGAACTTTTAATGCGACCGGAACCGGGTTTTTTATTCCAAAATCTTTTTTCTTCACGGGACCGAGATCAAAAAGTATGATCCAGTAGGCCTCTAGACTTATGTTCGTGAGCGATCACTCATCCTATAGCATACTTAATAAATCAAAATATAGTTTCTCTGACTTGTCGGACAGTTTCGACATGATTAGTGAATATGGATGATGAGCTCAGTCAATTGGGTGAAAGAAACTGCATCAGACTAACCTTCTAGAGAAAGCTGCAGCACTTGCAAATAAATGAATGACGATCATCGCAGATTGTTAGCAGCAGGGAAAGTACCAGACTAGTCGAAACTGACAAGTATAATTAGTTAGCACCTCATCGATAATTGTAGCTGCAAGACCAAATACTTTTTTTTTTCTTAACAAACGGATTCTTTACACGGATTAGGTGTATTTGATGTAACTCCCGTTGATAAATCAATATTCCCATTTACTTCATCGTCTATGCTTACTAATTTAGTCGATTTTACAGTCGAATCATTATCTATTGAATTTGATATATTTGATTGAGTTATTGCTGTTGTTGTCGTCGCACTCATCGGTATTGGACTTAAAAACGTTGATCGACGTCTCATCATATACGATGATGAATCTTCGTTAGAAGCATCATTTATATTATGAAAGCGTTGTACATCTCTTATTACAATATGATTTCCTTTTAATCTTAATTTTTCAATTAATTCATTTACTTTTGCTTCACGTTCAGCTATCAACGCTTTTAATTGCTCATTTTCTGTCATTAATTTTCTATGTTTTTCCTCATCTTCTGTACTCGGTTGTTGTTGTTGATTAGTCGTTTCTTCTTCGTTTGTCGTACGAATAATTCTTAAAAATTTAGGTAAAAATATAAGTCCATACGATACAAAACAACAAAGTATAATTGCGATCGATGCAAATGCAAAATCTGCATCTTGATTACGTTCAATAATTAATGTTAATGAGGCCGATATTAAACAGACAATCTAAAGAAAAAGTAAAGTAGTAGAAATATTAGAATACTTGGAAATATTACTTACAAATATATTATAAGTACACATTCGAACTAAATGTGAATCGTTAATACTTTCTAATTTAAGATTACGCGTCTCATAACTAAGATAAATTCCAACGACAATTAAACAACCTTTGATACTGTACAATAAACCTTAATATAGAAAAACAAATAATATAAAGTTCAAAAAATATTTGAGAAAAAATACATACCAATCCAAACCATATGATGTTTTGATCGACATTGTTGTATTTGATAAACAGTTTTAACATCATTTGTTATCGGTCCTTCTCTGGTTTCTTCTGATGTGAAATCTAGCGGATCTTTTAATGCCCATATGACAAACACAATCACATCAATAATTAGTAATGTACCAATAATGATGTAGAGTTCAAACGAAGCAAAATAATTATTCTATAATAAATCAGAATAAATTGTTACAAATATGCGATGTAGCGCTGTGTTTCGTTAAAATTTTTCAATTTTTTCTTCCATTGTAACGATTATCCTACCATTGCCTTTTTTGTCGAAATTAAATATGCCCGTATTAGTTTTGCTAATAGAGCACCATAACATATGGAAAACCCAGCTGCCAACATATATGCCTTAACCTAAGAAAAGATAAATAAACTTTTATATATGAAAGATAGAGTGTCCAAACTCGACTCACATGACATAATTGAACAAAACGGCTTGGATTTGTAGTTTGACTATCAGCACCTAATAAAAATACATCTATTAATAGAATGAGTCCACCAATGAGTGTACAATCGTTATATTGAGGTCTGGATTGTCGAACAATTCTAAAATGGATTATGTTGATTATTGTTTGTATCATAACACATATATATTTCCATTGACTTACTTGTGTTTTCTATGAACTATGTTGAATATTAAACAAGCAATTGCAAATATTAATCCTAATGCTGCAAAACAACTCATTGTGATATATAATGGTCGAGATATTTGTTGAACTTGTACGGATCTTTGTAATTGATCAAACGGTGGTCGCCGTTCAACTATAAAAAAGAAAAAAAAAATCAACAAATAATTAGACTAATCTAATTTTCACTAAAAAAACTGACCTACTTGAACTATTATTTTTATAATTCCAACATCGTTTTCCATCTTTTTCTTCTTTTCTCAACCATTCAATAATACCTGTTTGTGCATCAAATCTTGCTATACGATGATAAACACCATCTAAAATATGTTAGACATGTCATAGAAAAAAATTTAAATAATTTATATTTTGATATTCATACTTCGAAGTTGTTCGACGACAATTTTTGACATTCGATTTCCTTGTTTATCAAATTTAACAAAACCGGATACACCGAAAAATTGTGTATTCTCCATATCTTCCATCATGATATTTTTCATTTGTAGATTATCGTATGACCATTTTTCCAAATCTGTTCGTGTTAATGAACGATTTAAAGCAAGTGCTAGTGCCCATGTTGCATCTAAAACAGAGTAAACAAATATTATTTAGAAATGAGAAACAAAACGAATTTAACTTACCATAGGCCAACGGCGCCTCTACATAACCACCTACACTTTCAACTGGTTTATAGGGAAATAATTCACGAAGTGTAGAATTTAAATCAGCAATAAATAGTTGTGGTGTTATATCAGATATTGTTTCCTGCGTTGAATCCGTAAGCATTTGTATTTCAGTAGTAAAATGGCCTTCAACAGCTTTCGCCATTTCCTCTTCGGTGCAATCAATATCATTCACTTTTAGAAACCAATTGTCAGCATACCAGCCTATCAAAAAAAAATAAAACATATTCCAACAGATGAACTTATCAATAGTAAAAGATCGTCCATACCTATTGTCCACCAAACATAACCTTCTCCAAAATAATTTTGTTGATACGCCTATATAGAAAAAGGCAACAGGATGCCTGTTAGATAACAGCTTTCAATTGTTTAGATCACTTACTTTACAAAATACTTTTCTTGCCTTTTCTTCATAGAACAGTCCAACGATTATTCGAATATCATCTTTTTTCAAATTACTAATTGCATGTGATGGATCATTATCAAATAGCTGACGAACAGCAACGTGAATATTATTTTCTCGCGCTAGTTGTTCAAGATGTTCAGCTGTCGATTGCCACACTTCTTCGGTTTGAATTAGAATTGCTATTCGTTTCCAATTAAATAATTGAAAAAATTTAATACGTGTTGGATTATGAAGAGTAGCTAATAGTATAAAAAGAAAAAAATTATATTTTAAATAGTACATGTAAGTTGTATCATTTATATACCTGGTGGATGAGTACGAAAAAATGTTGCAAATCGAACACGATTTGATAATGCTGGTGAACTTGAACCATAGGATAAAACAATTAAATTCCACATTTTAGCAGCTTCACCAACAGCTGTTGATACGGGACTACAGGCCGGTCCAAGCAACATCAATATAGAATTATTAGTACCAAATGTTTTGTTATATAACAATTCGTATAATATTGTAGTACCGAGTCCTGGAGAACACTAAAATAGTGCAAAAATAAAATTATTAATTTCTCGATTAATGTTTTTAACAAAGAATCACTTACTCGAGTATCATAGGCACTTAAATTCAAATAATATCCAGGTAACACATCTATTCGTCTATTGACCTCATTTAGTGCTTTCAATGCTGCTGGAAAGCATGCCTCTCCCCCTGCCCACTCGCCAGCTTGCGGAAACATACCCCCAATCCATAGAGTTCTATCACGTTTTGTTTCAATCGGTGGTTCCAAATTAATTTTTAATTGATGAGCAACCGTAACCGAATATGTCACACCAACAATAAATAAACCATGACTAATACAGAATAGTATCTTCAACATATACGTTTTTTGTTTCTTAAATGTGATCGATTTCACAAATGAGACATCATAATGATGAATTGACACTAAAATAGGATAAAAAAGGATGATTTTTAATCTTTTAAACTCATCTTGGTTACGAATAACGATGTCGAAAAGAAATATTTCGATCTGGAATCCATTGTATGTACACGGCAAAAAAAAAGCGTACTAAAATGAACAATCCTTAGTGGACGTTTTTCGTCACGTGTTGTTATGCTTTTTTTGTGAACAGAATTGTTTGTGAAAGCTCTTTCACATATTCGTTTACGTCCAAAATACGAGTGAACGTTTTTTAGCGAACAGATAATCTGATACTTTATTTTATGTATTCTACGAAAGCTCTGGGTTCGAAAATTTGACGTCTTATTATTTTAATGTTTATATACTCATGTCGAACTTTTTTTATTGAATTCGGCATTTTCTGAAGTTTTTTTTCACAAACTCGTCAAAGTACATGAACTTTGACTGAAGTCATAGAGAAACAGTTTTATTGACAACTGTCTACTCTGTGTGTCAGCCAGGTGTACAAGTAAATTAAAAACCTCGAAAAACTACCATTGATATTCTTTTTTGATTGCTGGTATGCGAAATTCTGCCTGACATGCCGACTGAATACCGCCGATATACTCTACGGTGTGCCAACGGTATTTTGCTGATATCAAAGACATGGATAGATAGATAGGAACCTTTCTCTAAACCGTTGCACAAAATCATGCAACGTATTATTTTCCAGAAAAATATTTGCTCTATAAATTAACATTCTACACATCATTAATCACCGCAGTACAGCTTACAAAAAGATTGACTGCCATTATACAAACATTTTAAGTTTGTGCCAAGACTTTTTGCATGGATAATTAAAGGAAATAAACGTTATATGAAGAAATATAACGTGATTAGTGAAGAATAGAAAAATACAAACATTCATTCGACTGAACGATTTCCATTTATTTAGTATACGTTTTGTGGCAATACTTTTAGTTTTTTCTAATATAGAGACTGTTTGAAAAGCGTTCAAACTACTCACCATAGTTATCTCAAAACGATTTGTCAAATGCATGTGGGACGATATATAGACTCTTTTTTTTTGTTGATAATGATAAAGACTTTTAAGGTTAGATTAGCGAAACCACTGTCATATAAGTTCTGTTTTATGTGTCATTATTTGACGAACAACACTAATGTGTGTTTCAGAATATTATTTTTTTTCTATATTCGATAAATGTAGATAGACGTAGTTATAAGGAAGAAAAGACGGAAACAAAAAAAAAAATCGCATTCTAAAAGAAAATAATAAATCGAAATAAGGAAAAAATTTGCTTTGTTAACAAAGAAATATGGGAACATTGAGAACCAAAAAAAAACTGAAATGATCAGAATGAAAGCAAAAGGAAAAAATTCATGCTGTTCGATGCAAAAATTCCTAGAACATCTAACAGAGCAATAAGAAGAAGAAAAAACATGGTATAGAAAAAAGAGTCAAAAAAAAAATAGAAAACGAACATTATCACGTTAATTATGCAAAGTGAACTTAGAAGAACTACTATACAACGTTTACTTAATGCTAACTAAGTAGCAGGTTATTGATTCTCTATTGAATCAGCTCTGTTGTTTACACTGTAATAGTACTGATAAATCGGCTGATAGATTCCTTTCTTGCTGTTTACTCTTAAAAGCAGTTTCTATTGATAAAAAACGAAAATACTTCCAAATTACTCTACACATCTTCGGCTATGTTGTTTGATTATATTTCTATTTCCTGATCACGAGTATACTCAAAAGGGAAAAAAAGAGTGTTCATCATATTTTGTGCAGATAGTGTGAAATCATTTTACTATAAAGATACACTTCTTTTTCAATTTGTAGCAATATAACATCGAACTGAAGTAAACAAGATGTTGAACACAATTACAGAATAAAATTTTCTCACTTAAGACCTCGACCAACGTTGACATTGTCAGAAATGTCAACTTTTATTGATACTTAGACTGGGCCGTAGTTGGCTACCACACGCTAATACAGGTCATCCTCTGGCATAGTCTGATGTGTTCGACATGTCCTTCAACGTAACGACGTTCGAACTTTGGCGCCGTCAAGTCATATAACAACCTTAAAAAGTTATACATGTCTCAGATAATCTGAGTTAGTTTCCTCGTTCAACAGCATACTTCTGCTTTGTAACGCAACACAACGCTTTTCCGACAAGGACTAACTAGCATGTGGCTAGTGAATGTATGTGAACAGCTCAATCAACTGAAGAAAGAGCTCTACATTAGGCTAGCCTTCTGCTCGCAGTTGCACTTTGATAACTACGTAGTACAATGATGGATGATTACCGTCAAAGGTTATCAAATTTTTATATACAAATTTCCCAATCACTTTTTCGAGGGATATGTCGAGTACTCGAAAATAAATTTTGGTTGGGCCCTCGCGGACGGCTCGACTCTTCGAAAAATGAGACATCGGTCCCTCGATAGAAACGTTCGAGAGATTATCAGTTTCGAAGCCTCGGGTTTCAGGTAGGTAGCGAGTCCTCGAAAAAAATTCCGAGCCGTCGAACAGAGATGTTCGGAACCCAAGCAGAAGAAAAAAACGTCGTCCGAGGATAGGGCGTGGGCTCAGAAGTCCAGAACATCTCTGTCTGATGGCTCGGAACTTTTCTGGAGGGCGCGCTACCTATCTGAAACCAGAGGCTTCGAAATTAATAACCCCTCGAACGCTTTTATCCAGGGACTGAAGTCCCATTTTTCAGAGGCCAACCCCTCAGCGAGGACCCATTTTCGATTCCTCGCCGCATCCCTCGAATGACTTTTTCATCTACACGGGTTATTAGGATTCCTCTATTGCCATATTCTGATAGTAATGCCAGAGATCGAGAAAAAATATAATTTTACACTTTTCATTTAAACTCGTTATCCCCTTGTAAAGACTCGACGATACACTACACTCCAAAAGTATTCATATTATGAATGTTTTTATTATAACTCTGTCACTATAAACCTGTTTGTAATTTTAAATATACCAAATAAAAGCTCGATAGTTCTTCTGTATACTCAAAAATTTCTTTTTTGGCGTAGACTTTTCTTGGCGCAGTTATAGGATCAACAAATAGGACGACTATAGTTTTAGTGTCCAAAAGTCTTCATAAGATTCTTCTAAAATTCGTTTCTCTTCACAGAAAACTGACAGAAAGTCTGGCAATTTGATAGAGAATGCGAGAGCCACATTTTGGCAAAAAAAGAATTTTCCTTAAGGTGAAAACGCAACTTAAAGCCAAAAGTACCATATCAGTATGACCGCGGAATCTCGAGAATGAGTGTGAACAAAAAATTCTGCTTAAGCCATTCGAAAGAGCGTCCAGAACTGAGTAAGATAAATATAGTGTGGACGTTAAGTGAAAGAATTTGTCCCATCTGTTAATATTTTGGATCTTAGGACTATTTTTGAATTCTCTTGTCTGCGCGGGAGAGTAAACATGTTTTGGATATCTTTGCGTCATCATGTAGTTAAGTAGTTACTGTGGAAGAGTATGAAAAGAAAAATTTGGATTTTTTAAGTTCAGAGGGAAAACCGGCTTTCCACCCATAAAAAACAGTTTTCATCAAAAACTAACATCATATTTGTGCTCAGCGTAAAAAACTGCGTTTAGTGATCTGTCACTCGAAGTTTAGCAAACTTTTACTTACCCCTAAAAATAACGCCTGGAAGCGTTTCGCTCACTAAACAGTTGACGGGAAAAGAAGGGGATTTTACGAAAGAAAATTTTTGCGTACAGCAACGTTTTGAAGTACGACCAGAACTCTTTGTCATATGGTATGAATCAGCTATAACAAGTTCAGTGAAAAACATACATTTATTCTTTTCAGCCATAATGAAGTTCTTTTACATACTATTAGCAATTATTTTTATTAATTGCTATTTTATTTTATTATTGTATTGTTATTTTATTGGAATAATCTATGTTGATGGACGAACAAGTAAGTTTTCAACAGAATCAATAGTACCTACTATAAACTTCTGTATTACTCATTTTCGTTCTAAAATGATTGATTTTAAATAGGTTTAATATATCTTTGAGTAATACATAGATACCTGCCCAGTTCAGGAAAATCAGGTGATATGTATATTAAATACGGAACTTTTTTAGTGTTTTTTACAACTGGTACGTTCATCAGCCACGTCCGTAGCTGAACTCGATCTAGCATTCGGAGTCCGTTATACATAAACCTGCGTCATTTAAACATGTGAATTAAGATCGTCATTAGACTAGCATTGAATACATTTTATCATCTGATGAGTTGATGGAAAATTGTCTTTGTATTGTGGCAGAATAATTTTGCTCTGGGTAAGATGTCCGTAAGGGAGACTTGCAGTAAAAAATAGATTTCGTTTATTTATACACCGTTCGATAGAGAATTCAACGGAGATCATGAATATGTCGTCCCCAGATTTTTGGAGACTTTTTTCCGGTCGAAAAATACAGAAAACTCGCGATGACCCGAAAACCGGAAAAACAACCGGTTCTTGGAAAAGGTCTCCAGTTTCCCCAGAAAATGTTATGAAGCTTTGAGATTGACGCAGTTAGGTTCAGCATTAAAAATTGCATCTAACCATGTGCTTTCCAAATCCCAAAATCCAAAACTGGATTTTTGGCAGAGCCCAAAACCGAGGCTGGACGTATATGCCAACTTTGCAGACAGCTCTCCTCCTACAGTTTGAGAGTTAGACCCACGATTCACATGTGGTTAGATGCGCCGTTAGATAAGCTTCAAAATAACAAAGAGCTTTTTTCGAAAAAGTTTTTTGTTCAAAAGTTATTCGACTTATACTAAAACAGGTAGCAAAAAACAAGAAAATTTACTTGTATTTTGCAGTTTTCACTGTCAAATTTTCATTTTTTTTTTTGCAAAAACAATGTCATATTTGGCATCAGCATCAAAAACTGACTTGATTGGTATGTGTCTCAGGAGTTTTTGGGA